CTTTAGAAATGTCATTTTGTTAATTGTTACACTTTGCTTTTTTGCCTTTATTCTCATCTGTGATCATTAAAAGTTCTTCGTGCACCATGAGCAGTACTGCCCTTCCACAAGACCCTCGTCGAAGAGTAGCTGAAAGAACAAGCTGTGATTATACTTCGGGCATGTTTCCTTTGCTGTCTTGTATCATTTAAAGGTTTTATTAATCTCTTTAGGCCATTCCGTACAAAATCCCTGAACTGTATAAAACCACGGGAGTCTTACTAAAAAGAAGATTTATTAAGAAAGGAGACAGAACACTGGAGAAATGGACTGTGTAACAAGTCTAAGCTGGAATGTTGCTAAAGCTGGTCTCCTTCATGTTATTAAAAGAAACTAAACTACCTTACACATCATCTGATTGAACTTGCCTGTTTTCCCTCTTACTGCCTCTGGCAACTACCAAATCCGGGAGAGTTTCTGGTATCAAATGTCTCTTTTTGAGGGTGCTTTTGCTGTATATTTGCAGCTAGCTTTGCTCTTCTCATCCATGCGAGTGTTGGCAAGCACTGCTGAGGGAGCGTTAGCCTCCGTGTTAGCCCTGCCTGCTGCTGGGTACCTCTGCAGAAGGACAGCCAGGGAGATGCTCAGCATTATTCTGTCTGCAGCCCACCCGGTGTCCATAGGTTAGAAACAGAGACGTCTGAAATCGTAGTGCAGGCATCAAGTCTGCCAGGAGCAGAGCTTACTGCCTGGCATTAAACTATTTAATTCTTTATCTTCCGTATAGCTTGAAGTTCTTTTGAAAGTGTTATACAAATGTCGCTCCTCATCCTTTTTCCATATCTTATTTTTGAACAAGCAGATCACAGCTCAAGTCTGTCTACCCTTTCTCCTAAATTATTGACCATGACTTTACATAGTAAATTGCTCTGGCTACAAATGTTTGCTTGAACATAATTCATGGCAGAGTTTAAAGAGACAGAACTTACATATCATTTTCTCAGTCAGTAAACAACTGATGTTAATTTTGGCATTTCTCAGCTTCCGAGTGCTTAGTTTTGATAAGATGGCGTTCTTTTCAATACTTACAATCCATTTAAATAATGTTCTTTTTTTTTAAAAAAAAAAAGCATCAAAACTTGCACTGAAAATGAAATTACATCCTGCAAAATTCTACTGACCCTCCCTTTCTCTGGAAGACTCCCACTAGTGAATCTTGCAAGCGTTGGAAATTGGATGAACAGCATCCTCCGCTGTCACATCCATATCCACATCCACCGAGCAGCACTAGCTGTTGCAGGTGGATGATACGTACCTTTCCCATTTCCCATGCAGGTGCAGCTGGGGTGAAGGACGGGATGGCAGATGCACCATTGGGTTGGTGGCGAGAGCTAGGAAGAAACAGGATGTACTCTGTGGAAAGCTGCACCCTGCTGTGTTTAGGTCAACCAAGGAATTATCAAATTTGGCCTTTTTTTAATATACACAGCAAAAAGGAAATACCAGAGACCTTGTTGTTTTGATTCTAGACCTTCTTAGTGAAATGCTAGGGAAAAAAATTAGTTAAGCATGAGCAGAGTTTTTTTAACGTTGTTCTAATGAATAGTACCAATGAATCAAGCCTTGAGCAGATGCTTGGAGTGGAAATTGTATTGAAGACTGAGTTTAGCATAAGTGTAAATGGCTGGGAACAGGGTCTTACAGTATAATTTTTAGGCAACTTGTTGACAAGTTGTAGGTCCTAGAGTTAGTAATTTGAAGGAGCTTGAGAGTCGTGCTTTCCTTTTCCTGGTCTTATGTTTTTTCTCATTCTTTATGATTTCATTGTGTTGTTTTGTCTTCATAAACACTCCTAAACTCATCATATTGCCTTGTTGCCTTGTCTGTAACCATTTGTTAAGCTTATCTAATTTTTTTAAAAAGAATTCTCTGTCTTCCAAGAAGGCAGAGAAGATAACCAGCTAAATGTATGTAACATAAGTTAATTTTATTAATGCTTGGAGAATTAGCCTGTAAATCTCAGTCAAAATGGTTGTGGTTTTAGTTAAAACTGGTAAAGCTGGATCATTGCCTTATTTAATGGCTTTACTAAAGCACAGTTTTCTCCTGCTTTCCCTATATTGTAAGGTCATTAATGACTCATTATCTATTGCTAGTAATTACTGATCTCTTGAGAATATTGGATGAATTATATGGGAATCATAAGTGGAAGATACAGTTACATATTCTACAATGTAGGTAGCAGTACCTTGGTGTTTATGGCTTTAAAGAATGGGGGGGGGGGGTGTTAGTAGATTTTAATTGCTAAGTGTGCCTGGTAAAATATGAATTATTGTATTACTGCATGTGATAAAAGTTATACTATTGTGAGCCTTGCAGTCTGCAGGTATAACAGATGTAAGGCAAGATTAACAGGACAGAACAATAATTAAACCACAGACAGTGACCTCAATAAAAAAAAAAAGGTTTATCATGTCCAATGAAATTATTAAGTGTGTCTTAAATTCTCTGCAAATATTTGGAAAAGCAATAAAAACGTGTTAGTTTGAAAGACAGCTTTTTAGCGTGGACACTTACTTTAAGGAATTAAGATCCCTTTTTGTGAATGTAAAAGCTGAGTGAAGTCCTGCCATATGGCAGTATGGTTCATAGGCAATGGGTCCTTGGTTTATAGATGCTATGAGCTAAATGCTGCCGAAGAAAATAAGAGAGCAGTTAGTATATATGCATTTACAACAGTATGAATTGCTTGCTCCCTTTAAGACAGGAAGGTTCAAATAATTAACGGTAATATTATGGTTGCAAAAGGAAGTCCAGTTGTTCTTCAGCAGTCTACATCTGTGAAACATGATACCTCTGGGGACTGAGATTTAATTTTCCCAGGAGAAAATGTAAAAGCAGGAGGAAAAAAGCAATGACTTCTGCTTGAGCAGAATAAACCTGCATCTACAAACGATTAACACTGCATAATGAAGTAGTAAAGAAGCAAAAGAGATTTCTAATAAAAGACTAATAACAAATCCCATTACACCATGGTGTATTTTTTCCCTTGAAGTGTATTAGACTTTTAGCAAGGTTTCTGAATGAGATTTGGGTAGTTGCAAGCAAAGTCAGCTCAAATGCTTCAAGCTTAGCTGAAATTTCTTGCCTATCAGTTTGTGTAACTTGAAAGTTGTGGTTTTACAGGTGGGAGGGGTTGTTAATGCAAGTAATAGGCTTCACGCAGAGTTTGGGTAATGTTTGTGTCACCACAGGATAATAGTCTCCTGTAGGCTAGGCACTGTAGGGTGATGTGCCACTACACGGTCAAATCCCTTAGAACAGTGTATTAAATACACTAGCTAAGCTTCGGGTTTGTGTTAACAGTTCTGACTTCTCTTTCTGAGGCCTGAAAATACGTCCTCATAGGAAAGGGGTTTCATCAGAGAGAGAAATAGGCAGAGTTTGTGTTTTGTCATAGCTAATATTGTGACTTTTATAATTACTACACTGACATAAAAAGTTACAAGACCTTTGAACGTAAATGTTTGATATAAGGATGAGATGATGCTGTCTTTTGAAATAATGTATGTTCACTTTAAAAGGGAACGTGTCTTGCAAGGGAAAAAAATCTGTGTAGTGATCTCTAAATCTGTAACATGGATGACTTTGCAGATCATATGTATGGTTCTAGTGGTGGGGGGGGGAATAAAAGTTTAAGTGAACAAAACCTTGACTCACAAAACAGTCCCTTTGAATTTCTTTTATAAGGGAGAGTCTTTTTGTACAGATTGTTGCTATCTTAAAAGCTTGTGCTCAATTGACGCGTTGGAATTCATTTGTCTAGAAATGAACTTTTATTACTGGAATCAGGAAAAAACCCACAGATGCCTTAAACCAACAATGAGTTCTGGGGCAACAGTGGTTAAGCATGAATTCTTACAAGTGAAACTAATCCTGGCGAAATTTCTAGTTGCCATTTTAGAAATTTTTGTGAGTTTTAAAGAATGACTTAATTTGCTTAGCAGAAATTTGCAATCAATCTTTTCTTGCCACTGAATAAACAGATTCCACACGCGTAGTAATTTGCATATCCCAGCTAAAAATGTAATTCATTATTTTTAAGTCCATTTCGTAATAACTATTTCAGGATTAATGTTACTAACTATTCTTTAGCTCTTTCAAATGTAGCCTTAGATAATCCTACCTAAAAAGGTACAAAGGTAGTGGGTCTGTTCTGGAATAGGAAAGGGAAGTGCCTTTCCTGAGGTCAGCAAGTAAGTCAGTGTAAGAACGAGAACTGGAAATAAGAAGTCTTAAGAAATAAATTTCATCTACTGCATCTCAAGCTTCCAGCCTCAAGCAAATATTACATTTAATAAGACAGATTTTCACATTTTGCTGGGTATAAAAAGAGCACAGATATGAACAGGAATTAACAGTATCGTCTACATCCAGATTATCACTAAATCTGGTAAAGATTTAAATTAGGTTTAATCAAAATAGCATCCATAACATATTTTACATGGAGCTGCAAACCCTGTCATCAATAACAGGGAGGAAACATCTTCAAAGTAAGTGTGACCCGGGCCATTTTAACTACTGTGGGGCATCTGCCTTTGAACTGGCTTTCACTTGACTGAGCTTTTCAGGGCTTCTCATAAACCACTGGCTTCACCCTCCTGTTTTTGCTGTTCCAGGCTATTCTTGCGTAACATTTTCTCACTTTCATCTTAGATGACTATCACATTAAATGCCCCAAAATATGGTATACAGGATTGATATGTTTTGTCCTTTGAGGTTCACCCACGTAATATTAGTCAGTTAAGCTTCTACAGTCTGTAATGTATGACTTCTTTAATGTAGATGCAGTAACATTACCACAAATACGATTAGTTAAGTGGTTATCACAGATCTTCACGCTTTGCAAAATTTTCTGGTAAAATGTTTTGGATTGCAGTAGATCCTGGGATATGTATCCTGACTTTACCGTGCGTGGCACAACGGAGAAATACAAATCACATCTTTTCCTTTTTTTTCAGGCGATGGGTAAGGCTCCTGTTTGGACGTGAATTCCCTCTTCAGGACCTCCTGGTTGTCTGGGATGCTCTATTTGCTGACAGTATCACTCTGAATTTAGTTGACTACATTTTTGTAGCCATGTTGTTATATATTAGAGATGCCTGTAAGTATCAACTATATTACGATCTTTTTAAAAGAATGCAAACCTATTTTTCAAAGAAAAAGAGGACGTAAGAAATGCTATATTTCATTGTGACTTTTTTAACATACTGAAAATCACTCCAAATGCTAGGAAAGAAGCCATTTATTATCAGACACGGTCTGCTGTATTGATGAAACAAATTGTATCTTGGAGTTAAATGCAGGTTTGTTTTCTGAGTAGTTCTGTGTTTTTATGTGGAGTTGCAGATTTTCTGTGCAGTAAGTGATACAGGTATGTATAGAGCTCCACCTTCTGACCAAGCTGATGATTTGAGTAAAGCCTCCCTTTGACACTGGAAATATTTTTATGCTGTTCTGCTGTAAAAAATGTGAAAATGCACAAGACAATGACTCATAATTTTTGAAGATATATCTTGAAGCAAATGTAAATGCAGAGATGAGTAACAATTGAAAATATACTTATTCCATGCAAGAGTGGCATCTTTAAAAAGTGATCATTTCATTTTATTTTATTTTAGTACGCCTGAAATATGTGCAAAGGTGAATTCTTACGGGTTAGTGATGACCAATAAATACATTAAGTTGGGACAAACGTGAAATCACAAAAAAATTTGTTAGCTTATATAATTTTGAAGGGGAGGAAGAAGCTATGTAATGATTAATTGAGGCATTTATTTCTGCCCCACCATATTTTGCAAAAAATTCTATATACAACTTTGCCGGAACAAAGTATACATTTTGCAGAAAGATGCATGTCTTTCATTAACTATATGAATTCCACAACATTCTGTTCAGAGTTAATTATATACAGTCTGTAATCTTTAAGTTATAACAAAGTCACATATTTGACACAGTTTTGTATTCTAGGATACATGAAGTTTTCAACATCTGTGGTTCCTATTTTAGGGACCAATCTTGAAAATGTAACGTGCATGTACTTTACACGTACTGTCGTTCCACTGCCTGCCTTCATGTGGTTTTTTAATTCCTTTTTAATAAACATGCAGCATATAGAGCAACCTTACATTCCTCTTAAAGAAGTGGACATTTAATTCAGTTTAGAGGTTGCAAAATTAATGCTGCTGTTTCAGGATGATCTGATTCCAGGTCATTATGTTCTGCAATCTAAATCTGGCTTGTTTATGTGTGGTAAACTGAAATAATCTTAAAATTTTTGGTATAGATATGTAGTGCAGATGCACATAAAAATGCTTCTTAACATCGGTATTTTATTTTGTGTCATTGTTTCCCTTTAAAAAAAAACTTTAGAACTGTGTGCGTAAGCACCATCTCTCTTCTTGGGGAGGGAAGGTTGTTCTGAGTTTGTTTTCTTTTGCTTTATGGTGCTTGTGTACAAATATCAGTATGAGGTAACTAAAAAACATGAGCTAAAAATGTGTTCTAGGCATCTGTATGAAATCCGTCTCCCTCTTTTCTCTAAAATCCCCAGGCTTAGTAAATAAAGTAGTAAATAGCTTTAAAGTGGAGTACTTTTGTCCAAACAAGATGTAAAGTCATCTCATCAGGACAGCTAATACTTCATACAAATACTGTTTCTGTAATAAGTAAGTTTTGTTCTGTAGTTAGACCTATTTAGTTACTCATAATATAATGGTGAGACAAAATACATAGTCATAAGTACTGTAAAGTTGAATATCTTTTGAAAGTCAAGCTCAGACTGTAGTGACTTCTACCATTCTTGGCTTGATAAAAAAAAAGCTTTTTTTATATAGCTGTAATAGAAAAGTTTTCCATTTTTCCGTATTTTTTATTGCTGGTAATATTTGAGCTTTGAATGGAGTTCAAAGTTCTGTTCTAATATTTTTAAAAACATTTTCAAATAAAATAAATTTCTAAAAACTTCTCTTTATTTGGTGAAAGGAAATGTTAGCTTAAAACATCCAATGATGTTAATCATCTATAAATAAACTGTCTTGAAATTTTCAGTTTAAAAACCTTGAAGCAATAGAAATAGTAATAGAACTCCTAAGATGTTATGTTATAAAAATGTCAAACATAAGCAATGATAATAATACAATGCTGAAAGCATTTGAAAGTTTAAAAATTATGCAGATCCCTTTATACCAACACATTTGGGGATGGGGGAGAAGTTGCTGATTTGGGAATTGATGGATTTTTTTCTGTATTTTATTATGATGTTCTCAAGGACATGATTTTAAGAAAGTATTATTTCTACTATATTTTTCATTTTGTTTTTATTTTAGTTTTGAAATCCTCCGTTACTCAAACAATATATTATTCAAGGAGAAGAGAGCATTTAGATTTTTAGATTATTGTTTATACATTTTAGAGATTGCAGATACATAATCATGTACAAAGCCATTCTGTAAACTGCTCTGTTCAGTTTTACATCTATATCCAAGCAGAGCTTTATCTGTGGAGTGATAATCCTCACAAGCCAAGTGTAGGGTTGTGTACCAAAGTATCTATGAGTTTTAATAAATTGTTTTCTTAGTTTCTTTGGAAAAATTCATGCAAAACAACCTTTTCTTTTTTTTTTTTTTAAATCCTGTCAATTCAGAAGCACAAATACGTTACCTCTTTTTCACCAATATGGATGTATATGCAGTTGTTGATGAAATCAGAATGGAGGGTAGGGTGCCATGCAAAGATATATATATTTTATATACTTCCCTTCAATAAGGACAAAAATGAACAAACCTGGAAGAACTGTCTATATTTTGCATAGTAAACTAACGTCATTATTCCAACAGGAGCTCATTTTGACTGATCAGTGTTAGAATAAGTGTATTTTTATCATGTTCCCGCTTGAATAATAGCTATGGCCATTGTTAGGATATATTTGTTCTTATCTAAAAGCGCTGTGAGTATTTTGAGGGAAATAAAGCAGCCACAGCCTCTTCTTAGAGGACCTGATTTGTTATTTCTGTTGGTAGTGCAAGGTGTTCATATTATCTATGTTTAACTTGATTTGGGGCCCTATTAACATGTGTAAAGCAGCAAGGGGAAGTAGTCCCACCCTTCCTGGGTTAGGAAGTCATCTGGATACAGGATTGGTGGCATCAAACATTAAACTTATGTGAAATGACATGTGGCAGAAAATTAAGACTTGGTTGAGGGCATGTACAGTTACCTCACATGTTTTCCACCACTATTATTGCTGCTTGCATCCAGGAATGGTTATTGTACCAACAGAGGAAAGTCAGTCTCATCTAAAGCAGAAGGAAGAAAGCAATTTAATGTTCCTCTGGGCACTGTATAACAAATATTAATCAAAAGGCAGCAAGATTGCTTTCTCTGTGTAGAGGAGTTTCTTCACTCCTTTCCCGAGAAATACCAATAGCATTCTTCTCTGGAGAAGTGAGAGCTTGTTCACAATAAAATTTGGATCCAGATGTGACTCTTGCCAAGCCAATTAGTGAAGGAAAAGCACAGGTACAGAAGCACGAAGCTTATAACATGGCAGCTGGTCACAGTGTAAGATGTTTCACCATTGAACTCCAGCACCATCCAGCTACTGCTGAGACTGGATAAATTTGTATTGCCCAGAACCTTCTTCCGGAAACTTTATCCTACAGCTTATTCTTAGAAATCCTTTTAACTCTGATATGCATATTCAGAGAAGCGGTGTTGTTTTGTTTTACTGCTATTTTCTCTATCATTTGAAAAAAAACTGCCACTCTGTTGGAGAATATTATACATTTTGTCCTGAAGAGACAAGATTCATAGAATGGTTTGGGGTGAAAGAGGCCTTCAAGGATCATCTAGTCCAATTGCCTGCCATGGGCAGGGACATTTTTCACTAGATGAGGTTGCTCAAAGCCCCGTCCAACCTGACCTTAAACACTTCCAGGGATGGATCATCCACAGGTTCTCTGGGCAACCTGTTACAGTGTCTCATCACCCTCATATTAAATAATTTCTTCCTTATGTCCAATTTAAATCTACCCTCTTTCAGTTTAGAACCCTTGCCCCTTGTCCTGTCACTACAGGCCCTGGTAAAAAGTCTCTGTCTGTCTTTCCTCTAGGGGCCCTCAATATATTGAAAGGCCGCTGTAAGGTCTCCCTGGAGCCTTCTCTTCTCCAGGCTGAACAACCCCAACTCTCTCAGCCTCTCCTCATAGGAGAGGTGCTCCAGCCCTCTGATCATCTTCATGGCCCTCCTCTGATCTCACTCCAAGAGGTCCATGTCCTTCTTATGTTGAGGGCTCCAGAACCCACCCTTCCAGGTGGGTTCTCACCAGAGCAGAGCAGAGGGGTAGAATCACCTCCCTCGATCTGCTGGCCATGCTTCTTTTGATGAAGCCCAAGATACTGTTGTCTTTCTGGGCTGCGAACGCACATTGCCGGCTCATGGGCAGCATGCAGATCACTCTGAAACAAAGTGTACCAAGAGGTGTTTCAGCAAAGGAATCCCTTTAACACAAGGTCCCCCAGCAAATAGAGCACTGGCAACAATGTTCTCTTCTGTCAAGATTTCTACATGAAAAGGGGATCGCTCAATATATGGGGAAAGCCCTACAGATAAAATAAATATAAAAGTTAGCAGGCCTTCCTCATTGAAGTGTTGGAGTTTTTTTAACATTCTTTGGATGGTGAGGTTTCATTTTAAAATTTAACTTTTAGTAATCAGGGGGGACACAGGTCATTGCCCAACAGTTTGATTTTTTTTTTCCATTATTGAATTGCTTCAGTTACACATTTCCAAAAATTAATAATTAGAGTAAATGTCTTGTGTTGAAGATACAAATTTTTTTTGTCAGGGGTCAAGTCTGCACCATTAAAATAAATTAGCTTTCTAAATATTTATTTTTCTCTGTATCTGTGAGACAGCAAGGGTCTCTTCCAGGAAAAATAAAGAAAGGATAATTTTAATCAATTTTACATTGCAGAACAGAACACATACTGATCTGTTCAAAAGAGAAGTACGTTGGTCTTACTGCCTGTCTTTTATAAAAGTATTTAGAATTTACTATCAATTTTCAGTATTTTTATTTACTTTGGTAAAAAGGCATCATGATCATAACTGCAGTACAGTGTCTTAAATTTGATTTTACATATGAGAGTTTGGTTGAATATGTACTATGTGGTGCTCGTATTATACTCCTCTGAAAGAACTCTGACGGAGACCATTGTATTGTGTTCATTATGCCAGCTTTGTGACTTCAAGAAGAAAAAACAGGTACCTGAATATGAACAAGAAAAACAAAGGGTAGGAAAAAGAACAGGCAGAACAGATAAAGAATGAGTAGGATAAGTGAGTGCTTTACAAATGAAAGCAGATGTATGAAATTACAAGCTGTCGGATCAGCAACGGAAATGAAGATGATAAAGTGGTTCCATACACAGATTATAATTATTCATTTTGCCCAGTCCTGCATCTTTTCCCCATAATCCTTTTGTTGAGGGAGGAAAGGTACAGGAGGATATGAGGCTTATTCACATGAAAGAAAAAAAGTAAAACATTTAAATCTTTCTGTCCACACAACAGTCCTTTATTTTGCCTTTTATTGCTTCAAAATAATTCTGCGTTTGCAATGATCCTTTCTGGTGTAGAGGCCTGATTAATTAAAAGTATTTGTTACTACAGCTAAAGTTCTCAGAATAGTAAAGTTTGTTAAAAAATTATTTACAATTACCATTGTTGGAGGCTGTCTTTATGTTGCAGTGTGCAAGCATCATTAACAGGCATTGCTTTGACAGCTGTGGCAGATGGATTGCCTGGATTTAGATGGTGCAAAAGAAATGAAGTAGTTTACATAGACCTGCCTGAAAAGATGTCTTTAATAATTGCACTCATAATTAGATTGATTTGGGAGAAAAAAGAAAAAAAAAAAACAAAACAAAAACCGAAACAGAAGACGACAACGACAAGCAAAGACTCATAGAGTACACTTACATAGATTCAGATAAAATCAAGCACAATTATAATAAAATTATAAACTTTAGCAAAGCATGCTGAAAATTGCCTGAATAAGTAAAAAAACATCTAATAAAGTTAATGGTACATTATATTTTTAAGTATTTATGAAATCCAAATCTAGCCTTTTCCCTTCTTCCTGAACATTTCCTGAAAAGTTTCTGATTTATGAGAAAGTAAGTTGTTGTTTTCATCATTTTACCTATGTGCATATATTTGTATGTGGGCACGTGTGTGTATATGTACATAAGCACAACATAAAACATATTTCAGCAAAGAATTGTCAGAGTGGGGGAAAGTTATCATAAAAACAGGACCAAAGGTCAAATTTATCTCACAAATTATCATACTTAAATGTAGGTGTCTGCAGATGAGTGTCTGAGAGGTCAGTGTGCATGTCGAAGTGTAGAACTAGTTTTTCAAGGTCCACAGACTGTATTGCCCTGACCTAAACTGACTCAGGCAGGCTTTAGGTGTACAGATATAGAGATCTAAATGTGGAGCTGACATAAACGTCTATGACATCAAGTCAGTGGTAGGTTTAGCATTGTCCTTAATGATATTGGACCAGGCGTAGTCATGAAGCTTGCTATATGCAATGTCTTCTTTTACTCTGAGCACTGCTTGAATTCTGAGAGTCTTAATGTGGGAAAAGACAGCTGAATCTGAACTGTAATGAATCTACTGGAAAAGATATTATTTTGGAACATCAAAATAAGATAGTAATATTTCACCTTTTTTTCTCTCTCTTTTTTTTTATTCCATTTTCATTTTAGTGATTTCAAGTAATTATCAGACCTGTTTGGGACTTCTGATGCATTATCCACCTATTGGAGATGTTCACTCCCTTATCCTAAGAGCACTTTTTCTCCGAGATCCAAAGGTGAGATGCTCACTTTGTAAGTAGAGGGAATAAATCTCTGTAATAAAATTTTCTAAATACTATGAAGTTTATAACAACCTACATTTTGGGGACTAAACTGTAGCCAAGTTTCTTCTTACCTGACAAAAAAGCTGAAGGAAAGGGTTGGTAACCAAGAGTAGAAACAAGTTCCTTTACTCTTTAAAGGATACTATCCTACTACTTTGCTAAAGTTTTCCAGGTACTCTGGTAACTGCAGAGGTTTATGCTCTTTAGAATACCTTTGCTTAGTATTCTATACAGACATGTTTCATAATGAAGTATACTTTTGAGGGAAACAGTAATATTTTATATAAAAACCTAGTAAGCTCTATAGAAACTGTTATGCAATTTCATCTGTAAGACCTTTTTCGTGGGATTTTGCAGATTAATCACTGTTAATCCTTAAAGCACCACCCTTGCCCAATATATATGAATTTTGTGATGGTTTTCATTTAAAAATGAGAGTCTGCTCTTACAGCCTGAAAAGATTCACATGAATAAAATGTATAAATTCATAAATTTCATGTTACATATTACTAGCATACAGTTTCTGATATACTCATCTATACTAAAAAAAATGCGAACCTCTTGCTGTTTTAGAACTGCATGTGTATATGTGTGGTTATAATAAACAGCAGATATCCGCAGTATAGTGGATAAAGTGTTTGAGATGAAACAGTACACAATAATCTTTGCAGCACTCAGATCTTTGGCAGCTAGCAGAATTTGTGCTGCTGGTTTTGAACTGTCTTTTTGCACGTCCCATTAGTAGGCTGCCAGTGCAAAGTCTGATTTCCCTCATCTTCTTGATGCACGTCACCTTTGAAAGTGAAAATTTCATCACTTCTGCACTCTGACTGCCATCTGCAAAATTTCATTCAGTACCAATGTTTACACTTTTATGGATTAAGAAAAAAAAATTCTCTTTGTTTCTGTATCAGTTTTTTGCAGAAATCTGCATCCTTACAGCTGCTTTCTTCATTCCTCTCAGGCACAAAGATTTCTTTCATGACGACAAGTAAAGTATATCATCTTTTCAGTGTGTAAGAAAGTTTGTAATGTTAGATCTCAGGAATCTTTCCTAAGATTTCAGCAGCAGTCTGAAATCAGACTGCCCAGCATTTATTTATGTATTCTCTTAGCAAAACAAGATAGAAGTATTTTTCAGAGGGAAGATACAAATGGAGAAAAATTTTGCTAAGATATAAAGCTAAATCCAGTACGTAATCTGTCATTTAATGAACGTATATATTAAAAGATAGAATAATTACTAATTATTCAGCTTCCTCTGAAGCATCCTAGGCAGTATACAAGATATCCTACCAGCTGAAGGGGACAAAAATAAATCACCAACTTCCTGTGAAAGAAGCTTGATCACTGTTCTGCTCCTTACGCTCTTGTCTCCAACAGAATGTAGTTGTCAGGCTCATTAAGGCCTCAGTGTCCTATAAAGTAACATTCTCAGGTGTGCCTTAAACACCTTTCAGAAAAATACTGGTTGTAGTTCTTACTGAGTCTTTCAGGTAGTTCTCCCTTCACTCAGCTGAATGAGTGCTTAAAGCTCTTTCATGCAGACTGCTAGTTGTTTTGTCAATTAAAATATGATCAGTTACGGTTGTTCCTTATTTTTGAGCCGTACTTATCTGCTTGGGAAATACGCTGAAGGGTAGGAAGCTGGGATTTCCAGAGAATGAAGAGCCCTACGGGACTCCCAGCCACCTCTAGTTTTAGGTCAGTGCTTTGGGTTGAGACTGCATAACCAGATCTGGACTTCTTACAGTAAGGAAGTTAAACTGTTCTAAAGGATCACTCTAAAAGAAAAAAATAGCTCCTGGTCTGAGAAAGAAATATGTTTTCAATACTATGACTTGAGTACCCATTTCTTAGCTTTCCCCAGGTATGATTTTAAGTTTCTCTTATGTGTCTTTAACCATATGTTGGTTCAATCCAACACATTTCTGAAATGGAAGTCTTGTTATTATGTGAGACCTACACATAAAAATTTTCCAAGACCATCAAAATTTTTCATTCCACAGAATGAAAGGGAAGAGTCAATAAGACATTGTGGGTGCTGTAGGAGTCTAAAGTCAGTACACAGATTATGTATCGATATAAGTGGGAAAATTATGATACCTTTTTTTTGCTGTCTGCATAAAGATAATTCAGTTTGCCTTTATTCCCTGAGCAGATAAAATCAGATTGGAAGAAAAGACAAGATTTTAGTCAGTAGTTTAACTTGTAAGTGATGATTAGCGAATTCAGTGCTTAATGATTTTTCTTTCTCCTTTGATGTTTTCCTGTGCATTTCTTTGTCACCAGCTTCTAGTTTCTAATGGGAAATTACATTTGGTTCAGTGCAATTTAGATCTCCTGAGCCAGGGCTGAGTTGTTCTGCGTGACATTTCTTCCAAAATTTTGCTTGGGTTTTGATATGTGAAGTCAGGGAACTCTTCTGTGGGAGACCGTTGCATGGTCCAGTGTCTTATTCCATTATTTGTTGAACATAGCAAGAATGTTTAGTGTTGTTCCAAATACCTGAGAGAGGCTTGCTCTCTGCCCCTTGGAGCTTTAACTCTCAGCTGGACAAGAAATGCACTTTAGAAGTCGAAGTCATGGACAGGGACAAACAGAAATCTGCTTCTTGCAGGTTTGTTAATATATATATTGTCTTTGGGATTATTTTTGCTGCTAGGTAGATGCCAAATAATCTCACTGAGGGGAAGCTGTGGGGCATTTGGACAAAGAAAGGTCGGTGGTATAGACATAAAACTGAAAGTTTCTTAAGGAGCAATCCTGTCATAAATGGTGAAGTAGCTAAGATGGACCGGATACGGCCTTTCCATCCATAACTTCTGATTCTGGAGATAATCTGCATTTGTACATCTAATAACATCCATTGTTTCTTCTGTTTCCTTGGCCTGACATAACAGATATCTCCTCCTTAGTTGGCTTGTGGACTATCAGGAGAGCTAAACTTTGGTTTGATGAAGCTGTCGCATTTTGTTTGCTTCTTTTCACTGCAGTCATCACCAGGAGAGCAACCTAAATGTCAAAAGAAAGCTATACTTAAAAGATAGGTGGCTTTTTTTTTTTTTTCTTACAGATAGACAAATACAATTTCCTGACCTTTTGTGGAATCAAACCTTAGCAGAAGCCTTAGCATTATTCAGTAATAACAATAATACGAAAAGTAATTAGTGCTTGCCACTAATCTAATGCATGCAACGCTCTCCTTTTCACTTTGTGAACCCCACTTGGCAGTTGGGATGAGAGGACATTTTAGATACCACATCCCTGATATATTCCAGTGCCACGGAATAGAAATACACATCTCCGTAGCAGCTGAAAACAAGTTAATGCACCTGTCTCTGAAGGGGGGCCTGAGAGATACTAATTTTACAGGCATGAGTATGGATCAGTGCAGAATAATTGAATTTCAGCCTTTTCTGCATTCAACCAGCTCCAGTTCTTAGCAAAACGTACAATGAAAAGCTCAAACCAGTGTTGTTTTCTTTGCATAGGGTGATAAAGTTAACCTGCTTAGCAGAGTATTTGTTTCAAATTTCTAATCTTTCAACGGATAATTACCTCAATTATTTATAAGAAAGTACCTTCTCTGCACTTATAGTCCTTCTGAATATAGAAGTAGAACTTCTTATGGGAGAATGGGCTATTAAAACTATGTATATGTGAAATGAGAAAATAAGGAAAGTTTTTTTCTGTATATCCTAAAGCATTTACTGAAGGTGTGTCTCTGTGTATTTAATAGCCCAGGAGTGGCTAATTTTCTTCAATTTTTTCCTTATCAAAACCATTGAGCACGTTAATTTTCAAAGCAAGGCTGTGAAATTAAGAAGTAGAGATACGAAGATAGGGCAGTGGAAAAATATAAAGTGATTAAAAAACATAGTTCTAACTAGAGTTGTTCAAATAAAAAAAAAATTTAAAAACCCAATTAGAAACAAAAGTCATAGAAAATGTGAACATATTGTGTTCCTTAAATAACCAGATGTTCTTTCCTTCCTGAAGGCAGCCAGGGCTAGGAATAAAAGGTTTAAAACTATTGTTTTAAGTTAACTGTGAATTTTGCAAATCTGTTTTCACCCTTTAGCAAATAAAATTCTAATACAGCAACATAAGCAAAGTAATTTTCATCTTTGGGTGTTCTTATTTGTATGTTGTTCTGTGTTGAAGTGTTAACCTTATCACAATGACTTATTACAAAACTAAAGCACTACATAGAATATTACAGTTTTACATTGCATACTAAGAACCTGACAACCATCCTTTGTCTGAAGTATTCCTGTATTTATTCTTAATATTTTTGTAACATAAGTCTGCTTTCAGATATTTTGACGTGATGAGTTACCCTACTCGTTGAGCAACCTAGTTAGGAGCTTAATTCAGTGGAGACACCTTTTATCATAAGCCATCGATTCAAAAACAGAAGAAAGTGACTGTACATGGTTGATGGGAATTAATTTGTTAGTTACACTAATAATATTCTAGTTACTGCTGCTGATATTTTCTCAACATTGTATTTTAAGCTATTTGCTGACATTGAAAGTGGCCGTATTATAATATTAAATTCTAACTAAACCCGTGATGAAGCATACATGACATTTCAAAGAAGCCATATTAGTTCGTCATGACTCAAATTACAGGTACTGCCAGAAAACTTAAGCAATAATATATGGTCATGATCACTCATACAAAGATTTGTCGGAGAAATCTGCATTCCAGCTTTTAACACTTTTCACAATCTGAGCAATAAGTGACAAGGGGAAAACACATTACTGAAATTTTGAACCGAACTCTTTGTACGTTTCTTTACAGCTGAATTTTCTTCTTAAGTAGCTGCCACCGTCTCAGAGTTTTCTCCAAGCTAGTTTCATGTGCCTGAAAGGCTGTTGAGTTTCACTTTCTTCTTCTTCAGATAAATTCTTTTCTCTACACTCATTAACTGAGGTGCCGCTGCA